GTACGCAGATGATGTTAAGTTGTGCTTGCAGTATAATGACATTTCCTGCCATTTAGACTTACAATTCGATCTAGATAATTTTCAAAACTGGTACCGAGATAATTTACTAAATTTAAACGGTTACAAGTGCAAGCTGATGACTTTTTATCGGGTCAATCCGTTATACGCGACTTACACATTAACTGGCAGCTCTTTGGATAGAATAACCCTTGTAAACGATCTTGGCGTTCTCTTGGACCCTAAATTAAAATGTTCTAATCACATTTCGTCCATGGTTAATAAAGCCAGAGGAGTGCTTGGATTTATTAAAAGGTGGTCAAAAGAATTCTATGATCCTTATTTAACTAAAGCTTTATTTATTTCGCTAGTCCGTCCGATTCTGGAATATGGGTCAATAAATAACAATACGTGTTGTTATAAATAGTATAACTTTTTATAAGATAATAATATTAACTTTAAATATTTATTAGGTATACAAAAAAAAAGGTGGATGAATAAAAATATACCTTTCAACACAAAACATATAAAAGGGCTTGATTAAATATGAAAATATTTAAATGCAGGTTGATAATATTAGATATGATGTTAATAATAATATGAATATATTTACTTAAAATATTTTAAGTCATTAGATCAAAGTTTAATATATTTGAATAAAAATTAATTTTAATATTTCCATTTTGAAGTTAGCCATGGATTAAAAAATAAAGCGAAATATATTTAATTAAAAATCCTTTAAATATATTCAATTTAAATATAGTTCGCTTTGTTTTTGTTTAACAATCATAGTATATTCAAATCTATGAAACTTTGAAATATTTTTAAATTTAATCAAGCAGTTTTTTATGTTTTGTATTGAAAGTTATGTTTTTAACTTTAATTTAAATATGTAAAACGAAACTATGAATTAAATATGCAGATATTATAATTTAAGGTATATTAAAAAGTTTTACATCAAGCTTCATTGCCATATAATAAATAATCATCCTGTTTAATCATAGAAGTTCTTTTGACACACAATTATTTTCTTAGTCCAGAAATGATTTCTGGACGAAAATCGTCTTCTCAAACAAATACGCACACATACGCACTTGCGTATTCGTGCAAATCTATTTTTAGATTTTTACGCTCTCAACTGTGTGCGAGTGGAGAGAGCGGTATTTTCGTCGCCACCAAAAAACAAGCTGCATATTGCAAAACCAATGTATGGCGGCTATGCATCTTAGAGATTATATTGGTCTTTATTACTACTTGTTACCTTTTTTGTAAAGAGGAATTATGTGAAAATTTGAAATTTTCTAGATAAAAGGTAAATGATTTGAAAAGGGGCTTGCACAGAGCCTTAGCGCAATACCTAAGCACGGACCCAGGAATACCATCGGGCCCTGGCGAATAAACAGGCTGAAGGAAGAGAGCTTTCCGTTAAAGTGGGACAGAACACGAGAGTCGACTGATCTATAGTAGAGTAAGTCACAGTTCACCCTCAACAGCCTAATCGATCGGACGTGTTTTTCCGAGAGACATATACGTAACGCAACATCTAAACACAAAGCAAACGAAAAGATACAGATCTCTTATGTACGTTTCGAGCACTGCAACAGGCAACATTAAGCAATCTTATAGTTAGTTAACCCCAACATGTTCGAACCCCCGGACATCTGGAGAAAACACCCTCCCGATGAAATATTTCAAGTCTCTGACTGAAATTTTACCCTTCGTGGTTAAAAAAACCATTGAAAAAAACCAAGGACGGAAATCTTTTAATAAAAACAAAAAATAAGCTTCAAGCTGAAAGACTTATCAAATTAAACATAATGCCAACAAAAAACCCCCATTCAAATCTCTGAACATCGCACCCTAAACTGCATTTAAGGAACTTTGTATTCAAATGACCTAAGAGAAATTGAAGAAATCGAAATACTGGAAAACCTTAAACCACAAAAAAAGTAGAAGCAGTGGAAAAAATCTACAAATACATTTCCGGACAACCACTCGATAAAAAGAAAGAAAATGAAACATCCAACCTACCAGAAAATTTGTTCATCGGATACGAGAGAGTCCAGGTACGCCCTTACATGCCGCCTCCAATGCGTTGCAACAACTGCTATATATACCGCTAAGTTTTGCAAAAACGCCGCTACCTATGGAAACTGCGGACTTGCAGCCCACGCAACCTCAGAAATATGCCATAACGAAGCAAACTGCATTAATTGCACCGCCCAAAAACTTCCGGAAACGAATCATCACGCCCGCAACAGAATATGCCCAATCTTCTTGTCCAACAAGGAAGTCCAGGCAATCAAGACTCTACAAAAAGTGGATACCAAGTCAGCTTGGTCAATATACAACAAACGGCATCACGACGGCTCTCTATACCCCTCAACAGCTAAATCCAACACAACAAACGCCAACAAACACAACCATCAACAATCAGGAAAACAGTAATCTACAGACCAAACGAAGTCGACCTACCCATCACAACTGACCCTACCCAAGACGAACCTATTCCATCCGGATCGGAAACACCCAGCACCTCCAAAAACGTAACCACATCAAAAAAATCTGCAAATATCCTCCCAATAAACGCTTCTAATAGGACCAAACGTCTATTAAAAAGCGACAAAACCTCAATTTTAACCAGAGCAAAATTTAAATCTCTCTCCAACACCGAATAATAAACTCCACAACAATAATTCAATTAAACATAACATATAACTAACTTTAATTTTTATCCACATATTACATACATTATTCTAAATCAAATATGTTAAAAATTATACAATGGAACATTCACGGCTATAGAAACAACTATTTAGAACTTCAAATGTTAATTAAAGCACAAGCCCCACACATTGTAGCCCTTCAAGAAACCCATTTATTAAACCTTTCCACATTTCCCACCCCAACCAACTTCACACTCTACACTAGCGTCAACAACAGCAACAGTTTTGGCGGCACAGCCCTCCTAATCCACAACTCCATCTCTCAAAACCACATCACTCTTAGCATAGACTTCGACGCTGTTGGAGTTACCATTCACTCCAAAGCTAAATTTAATATAATCTCTGCCTACATCTCACCTTCCAAAACATTTAATACAACCAACCTAGAAAACGTCCTTGATTCGCCAAGTGACCACACACTAGTGGTGGGCGACTTTAACAGCTGGCACCCCTTCTGGGGCTCACCAAATCAAAACAGAAGAGGTAAAATAATAGCCGAATACATAGACCACTCTGACTACGTACTTCTTAATGACAAGTCACCCACTCATTTTTCCACCCATAAGACCTTCATACACATACACCTATCCTTTGCCTCAGCCTACATAGCTCCAGAGATCCACTGGGAAGTGTTGGGCGACCTCCACGGCAATGTTAAACATTGCTTATATCAATGTTTAACAACCCAACCTCTCCCACCTTTACTTCCAAACCATCCTTCACACTCCTAGCTGCAGACTGGGACCTCTACAAGAAAAAAGCTGCAAATCTGAACACTTCGATCCTACCAAGCCCCAACGTCAATCGTGAGGCAGCGCTTATAAAAAAGAATAATCCAAAGTGCTCACTTTTCTATATCCCAAAACACCACCTATCTCCTTCACCGCACTGTTCCCTGGTGGAACAAAGAACTGTCTCTTCTTAAAAAGAACAAAAACAATAAATGGAACAAATGGAACAAATTAAAAAGAGAAAGTAATACCTTCAACAACATCGAGTATAAAGAAGCTAACGCCAAATTAATAAGAGCTGTTAAAGAAGCAAAAAAAGCTCCTATAAAAAAATTTACTGAAAACATTAATCAGTTTACAAACGCTACGAAAACGTGGGACAACATAAAACGACTGTGCGGCCTTTATCCGCAAAAATATATACATGTAAAAATATATACATGTATGCATATGCATCCCCTCTGAAATAACAGACCAAACTGAGATCGCAAATGCTTTTAGCCAAACTTGGTCTAAACAAGCCGAAAACAGGAACTTTTCCCCCAATTCCGCATTAACAAACAACTACTGAACCCAAACCCAACTTACCACCCCTCAAACACAGCACAAGAAGTAGAAAAAAATATCTCCTTAATTGAATTTTCGTCTGCTCTGAACTCCTTAAGAGGCAACACACCAGGCTTAGATCGAATCTCCTACTCCATGATCAAAAATCTTCCCATCCCTGTTAAACATAGAATAGTTAACCACTTTAACAATCGTTTAAACTTAGTCTTGTATTACCCATAATTAAACCGCACAAACCAAAAACAGAAATAAAATCATATAGACCTATCGCTTTAAACTTATGTCTAGCCGAAGTATTAGACAAAATTCGTTGGTTCGTTTTAAGCAACGATCACATTCACATATGCCAATTGGGCTTTAAACGAGGCAAATCTGTTCTAGATAGTCTGCTCTACGTAGACCACCTAGCTTCCAGATCCATTGCCCTCAAAATATCACTGGTCTTTACAAAAGCTTTCGATAGAATAGGAATCCACACAATCATTCATCAACTGCACAATTGGAAAGTAGGTCCCTTAATTATCAACTATATTACAAATTTTATGACAAACAGGAAAATTATAGCCAAATCAGGAAAATGCCTTTCCAATACTTTCCCCCTAAACAACGGTATCCCCCAACGGTCACCTATATCAGTTATACTATTTCTTATTGCCTACAATTCCCTCTCCAATACCCTATCACTCTCAAATGAGATTAAATTTTGAGCTTACGCCGACGACTTCCACCTCCTCATCCAACACAATAAGAGAAAAAACTCATAATCGGGCTCAGTCCTTTCAGTCGAAAAATGCCAGATCTTACATATTTGCCGCAAACACAATTGCAAAGCCAAAATAATCTCAGGTGATACAAATATACCAAACACCACTGGAAAATCAGAGAGTTTTCTAATTATTAACAACAACCGAAATACTGCGGTGGCCAAAATTATTACAGCGAAAAAACGAACGAAAAGAAAAGGTGTCGACGGCTCAAATCAATTTCAACGAATGCTTACATATATTTCGACAAAGAACTTAGAGCCTAGCTTAACGAAGGTTGGCGAAGACGGGGCGACTTCGCCGAGAGCGAGAGAAAACTTTATTGTGCTCCCGCCTTCGCCCTAAACTAACTTACACTAAACTTCAAGTTTTTATTTTTAACAAATTTCAATATAATTCAAGTTTGAGCGAACACCGGCCCCGTTGAACACCCATCGGGCTTCAACACAATGGAAGCGGCGCCAACTTATAAATGGCCCGCCGGAAAAGGCCTCCTCCACTAGTCCGCACGTCGACGACCCTGACCATGCCGTCCTCCCCTGCGTGCCTGGCGACTATTCTGCCGAGGAGCCATTGTTGGGGCGGCAGGTTGTCCTCGGCCACGAGGACGAGATCTCCGTCGCTGATGTTGGGCTGCTGCTGGTGCCACTTGCCCCTTATTTGGAGGCCCAGGCTTCGTCCTCTATCCTCTCTCGAAGGGCCCGGAAGTGGCGACTCGCTCCGACGAAGTTCGTCCCGTTGTCGCAATGGACGACTTGGGGACATCCTCGGCGCCCAACGAACCTTTGAAAAGCCAATAAAAAGGAATCTGTGGTTAAATCTGAAACAACTTCTAGATGAACCGCTTTGGACGCAAAACAAACGAAGACCGCAATGTAGGACTTATACGGAGGCCTACCACGAATTTTCCATGTCGTATAGACAGGGCCACAAAAATCGACGCCACATATAGCAAATGGGCGGAGAGCACAGAGACGATCTGCGGGTAAATTTCCCATAATTTGTGTCATTAGTCGAGGGTTACACTTAAAGCAGCGTATGCATGATCGAACTATCTGACTGCAGACCTCCTGAGCGTTTACGATCCAAATACGCTGTCGAAGGAGACTCACAAGGGCTCGTGGACCAACATGAAAATTGGAATGGTGAAGATGCCGAACATAGCTCTGCACAAATTGGGAGCGTTTTGTCAACAACAATGGAAACTTGGCATCGTATGATATGGGAGCATTAGCTAGTCGCCCCCCAACTCGCAACAAAGAAAAGTGACACCAAGTCCCCTTGTCTTCATGGATGAATGGATTCAATCGCTGAAGACTTGGGCCAACTCTGGATCCTTTAAGAACGACAACACCATGCTACGAACACATTGATGTGGGATAACATAATGTGGAGCAGAAGGAAGTTTATCTGTAAGAGACATATGACCTAAGGAAAGGTACTCCTCCATAAATTCTAGGTACATTTTCTTCATCTCAGGGTCTCGAGACAGCCTTCTTTCAAGCGACAAAAACCGCCGTTTTGCAACTTCAAAAGAGTTGGCCTAACTCATTTGGATCCGATTTAAACGGCAGTCTTACTTCAAACCGACCTGATGGCAAAACCTGAGTAGTCTTCCGGTAGTGTTCTTCACATAACTTTTGCTCAGGTGACAGAATTTTCTTTAGAGATGGCATTTCTTCCAGTGACCAAAACTACAACTGAAGCTTTTCACAACTTCTGTAGGGGAAGATGCCTTATATCTACCCGATACAACCCAGCCGAAAAGGGTTTTCTGCAGAGTTGGAAAGTCAGGACCTTGTCTAATTTGTCCAACAGCTAATAATTCGAAAAATGATTCTGCTCCTATTAACATATCTATTCTTTGTGGCTTGTAGAAATAGGGGTCTGCTAGTGGTAGGTTCTTTGGAATTTTCCAGTCATTGATATTGACCGACTGGTCAGGATGATATCCTGATATTGATTTCAAAATCCAAAAATCGAAAGAGAACTCACTACCATTTATACGCGGCTTTACCATTGTGTGTACCTTTTTCTTAACTTGAGAATTGGACTCGCCAATACCAAGTAAGTTTATACACGACTCCTCTTTACGGATCTGTAAGCGGTGAGCAAGGTCCTCTGTTATAAAATTCGTTTGGGACCCAGAGTCAAGAAGTGCTCGGGCCCAAATATATTCACCGTTTTTAGTTATTACACTTACCATCGACGTGGCTAAAATCACTCTGTCCAATGATGTCGCATGCATAACATGTGACGTGGAAGGCTGATCTTGATTTAAAGAGGGAGAAAGAATCTCTTGGGGTGGTTGCAACGCTAAACTATTTTCGGGCACTGTATATCTATGCAGTAAAAGGTGATGCGAGCGGCCACAAACTCGACATTTATTAAATTTGCATTTTGAAACAGTGTGACCCTTTCGCATACAATTGATGCATAAGGAAGCAGATTTTACAAAGTCGAATCTTTGCATTACCGAAAGGCGACCAAACGGACCACAGTTCGCTAGGATATGGTCTCCTGCATTGCAATAGCTATAACTTTGCTGGGATTTACTGTTGGACGAAGAACAAGAAAATGAGCTGCGATTATGTGGCTTGCTCGACATAACTTTATCTTGCTTTGGTTTCGTCGATTCTTCAGCGGATAAATGCTGGTATCGGCGGTTTAACATTTTTTCAAAATCGGACCAAAGCGGTAACCTTTCATAATCTAAATGTTCTTCCCATTTTTGTTTGGTCACTGGGTCTACTCTGTTCAAAACAAGATAGATCAACATTGCATTTGAAATCTTGGAGTCGTCTCCTATCGATAACAAAGAACCGTATATAGATGATACGGTGTCGATAATATTTCTTAAAGACGAAGCTGACTGTTGCGTTATTTTCGGAAGACTAAACAATGTTGAAATATTATTCATAAAAATTAAACATTCGTTATCATACACTTTTTTCAGGCTGATCATAGCCTTTTCATAATTGCTCTCCGTGACTCGGTAGGCCTTAATAATTCCCAAAGCTTCACCAGAAAGGCAAGAAATTAAGTGATTGAATTTTTCAATGACGGGAATGCTGTCGTCTTGATGAACAAGAGTTTCGAAAAGGCTAATGAAATTCTTAAACTCCGAATATTTGCCGCTGAATTTCGGCAATGCCAAATTCGGAAGGCGAGCTCGAGTTAAGGCTACAGAAGCTGATCCAATTATTTTGGTTTCACTTGCCGTCTTCAAGGCTGAGATAAGCATTATAACATTATTTTTGCCTTGGTTATTATTGAAAGCTCTTCCAACTCTTCTCCGAACTCATCGCCATCATCTAAATCTTCGATCTGTTCTTGTATTTAAGTTGACTTAATAATATAAGCATTTAAAATCTCTAGCCGACAAGTTAGACCTTCTTGGATCGGAATCTTTGATCATTTAATCGGCGGATGCTCATCACTGGTTTTTTGAGCTTATTTTTAAGATCCTCAAGAAGTTCAAGAGATTTTGGCTTATCTGGACTCATTTTAATTTATTTTTATATATAAACCACGAAAATAAATAAATATATATATATGTAAATAAATTATTTATCCAAGAATAATAATTAATAAAATAAATAAGTTTTAAAATAGGATAATTGTTCAATTAGAACGACGACAAAATGTTAAATAAATTTTCGAAACAAAATACTAAGAGTAAATAACAATTTAATTTAATTATTAAATTTGTTCGAAAAAAATATTTTAATAATTATCCACAACGAAAACGACGAAAAAAAATATTAAATTGAATATCGAGCCACGAGGTATCAAAATTAACAGTGGTTGCAAATGACGGCAAAAATCAGTATACCCGTCCGAATGCAGGGTAGCGCGTCACTTTGATCTTCAGCGCGCCAAACCAATAGTCCAACAACAATTACAACGTTGCTAACGGCAGACAAGCGAAGCGAAAAAGGAAAACGAAAAAGTTAACCGCTGCAGCTGCTTGTATATGAGGGCTTATGTATTGGTTATGTATAGCGGCTGGGATGATTTTACCAACTATTAATTTTCGAGTTTCAATAAATAAATTGGGGGCGACAGTGATTCCAATAATATAACACAATTAAATGTTGCGTCCAACGGAGGTTCAAATAGGTTATAATGTGTATGTGTATATGTATGTGTATATAAATAAGTGCATGCACAACTAGCTCCACTATATCGATACGTCTGTGCCAAGAATTGAAAGCGAGGTGCAATTTTTCAGCACAAGACAATAAACAATTAAATTGTTTTTCTTATAACTCAAGCTTTCAATTTTTGCACAAATACCTCAGGTTCTGCGTTAGGGTCTTTCAATCCAGCTGCCACTTTCCTTTTGCACATTGAACAATCGCAGGGCATCCCTCTGGCAGCAGTTCTTCTGTGGCGAACAGGGTATTTCGCGACCGGCACGATACTTTAAGCAGGAGCTGCTGTGTATTTTCTGTCCACACCGACACGCCGCGGGCAACAATAAAGCACTATGTAATTGAGTGCTTTGACCTGCACTTGCACTTTTTTTTTTTTACACTATTTGGACGTTGATGCACTATGATCAGCGCAAACAAGTGGCCCTTATGACACCAAGCAGTGCTTGTTACGCGCGGAGCCTAATAAGCGTAAAAACGAGATCGCGAGAAGTTAAAAATCACAATATAGAAGCGGACAGACTAAGATTAGAAATACGTACGAGACTAATACTAATACTAATACTAATTTTGTGCTAAGTAAGATAAAATTAATGCTTTTAGGCTTGGCAAAGAGTCGGTAGTAGAAATGATATGGAATAGTCTATTAGAGTCGTTACACAGTACTCTAAACGGTTCATGCATATCAAAGTTAGATCTACAAATATTTAATGTAAGAGGAACATAGTTCCTGGTAATTCTATTAGGCACGGAGAAGCTTATGCGACCCATAATAAGTTTATAGATAAAAGTTATGCCAAGCATCGTTCTACGGTTTACTACGGATGGTAGATTAATTAGGAGAAGTCTACTAGAGTAGGATGGTAAAATAAGGCTTGCATTCCAGTTAAGGCCCCGAAGAGCAAATAATAAAAAGTTCTTTTGCACAGACTCTATCCGGTCTATATGTACACCATACTGAGGACTCCAAACTGCTGAACAGTACTCCAGGATTGGACGGACTAGTGAAATGAACAGAGTCTTTGTAACATAGGGATCATCGAATTCCTTTGACCACCTTTTTATAAATCCAAGTACTCCCCTGGCATTATTCACCATAGAAGTAAGATGGTCACAAAACTTAAGTTTTGGGTCAAGAAGGACGCCATCATCAACATGCGTAATTCTAGACTACGCGCAACCACCTAGCGTATACGTTGCATATTGTGGGTTCACCCGAAAAAATGTCATTACTTTGCACTTAGCGCTATTTAAATCCAAAAGATTTTCACAACACCATTTTCGAAAAGCATTTAAGTCAGATTGTAAGTCTGAACTACTAGAAATTTCGTTATATTGCAGGCATAACTTAACGTCATCTGCGTACATAAGGACACGCGACTTTGTCAAGACTAGAGGGAGATCATTTATAAATAAGGTAAAAAGAAGGGGGCCAAGGTGGCTTCCTTGTGGGACGCCTGAAGTAACTCGGATCAAATCAGAGATCGAGTTTTTAAAGAGGACTCGTTGAGTGCTACCACTCAGATAACTTGAGATCCATGTTAGAAGATCACATAGAAACTCTAATAAGTCTAGCTTTAATACCAGAAGCGAGTGATTTACTGAATCAAACGCTTTACTAAAATCAGTGAAAAATACGTCAGTCTGCATGTTCTTTCTAAAGCCATTTATTACAAAAGACGTTAGCTCCAAGAGGTTTGTCGTCGTAGATCTTCGCCTTATAAATCCATGTTGACATGGAGATATAATCGATCTACAAAGATGTTGCGAATGGGGTGTAGTAGTGTTTTCGAAAAGCTTTGGGATGGCGGATAATTTGAATATGCCTCTGTAATTACTTTTATTGCATTTATTTCCTTTCTTATGAGGGGAATG